GATGAATGGGAATATGAATCATGCAGATCTGGAATCAAAGCGGGTGGTGGGGGGGGGGGGTCAACATTTTTCCAAAAAACGAAAGGGGATCCGGGGGTCCGATCCCCCGGGAAAATTTTGATTTCTAGATGGCGGGAAATGACCTTTCTTGACTTTTGAGCTAGGTGTCTAATGACTTTGTTCTTTAAAATTCAAGGTTTTCCCCCTCTCGAAAACGGTCAGTTAAACTAATTCTCATTTCTATTACAGTAAATAGGCCTGTTATGTGTGTATACATACATTAAACAAAAAAGAGTTGGGGCCTAGTTGCATAACGTATTCTTTTTTTCAATGAATCGATAAGCTCCAAAGAAAAGGGGAGTCCGGGGAAAATTTTGATTCCCCTCTTGAAAACGGTCAGGTAATTTTTTCCCATTGTTATTACAGTAAATAGGCCTTGCAACAACAAAAAAAAAATGAGTAGTTGCATACAAACTTTTTTCTATGAATCGATGAATCCCAAAACGAAAGGGGGGGGGGGGTCCGGGTGTTCTCCCCGGGAAAATTTTGATTCCTAGAAGGCGGGAAATAAGCTTTCCTGACTTCTGAGGTGTCTTTTAATTACTTTTAAGTTCTTCAAAATTCAAGGTTTTCCCCTCTTAAAAATTATTATAATGAATCAATGAACCCAAAGAGAAAGGGGAGGTTCGGGTTCTTCCCGGGAAAATGTTGATTTCTAAATGGTGGGAAATGATCTTCCCCGACTTCTGAATATCTTTTAATGACTTTAATTTAAGTTCTTCAAAATTCAAGGTTTTCCACACTTGAAAACGTCAGGTAATTTTTCCCATTGTTATTACAGTAAATAGGCCTTATGTGTGTGTACATACATAAAAAAAGATTGTGTAAGTTGCATACGTATTTTTTTACCATGAATCGATAAATCGCAAAAAGAAAGGCGACCCCGGGGTCCCCCCACCCCCACCCCCACCGGGAAAATTTTGATTCCTAGAAGGCGGGAAATGAGCTTTCCTGACTTCTGAGGTGTCTTTTAATTACTTCTAAGTTATTCAAAATTCAAGGTTTTCCCCTCCTTGATATGAATCAATGAATCCAAATAGAAAGGGAGGTTCAGGTTCTTCCCGGGAAAATGTTGATTTCTAAATGGTGGATGATGAGCTTTCCCGACTTCTGAAGTATCTTTTAATGACTTGTTTTTATAGTAAAAAGGCCTTA